AATCCAGATAAATTATCGGGTTACGTCCGATCTCGCGCAGCGAAGAGCGGGAGTTTCGGTATTTCTTGATCATCGAGGTGAGGGTCTGAGCGTTAGCATGAAGATAGTTCTTTGCCAATAAACCACAGAGCTTTATGTCATTTCGAGTGACTGGCAGCGTTCCATCTACGGCGCAGTTTATAAGCACCGTTAATAGGCTGAAGCACAAGTTCCTACCTCGTACGGCCTGTGCTTGCTGGGGACATTCCATCTTATGACCCTGCCTCCAATCGCCTGCTCGACACGCGAGGGAGCAGTATATGTTGGCCGAGCAGCCCATGCAACGAAGGTATCGAATCTTGCTATGTGCTACCGACGGTTCAGCTCGAGACATTGGACACTTTACGATAAAGAGATCAAAAAGAAATCGCCAAGCCCGAAGAGTAGTCGTAACTCACCAGCGGATTATCACATAGACCTATCTGCTTAATTCCCTCTCTACTTCCATACAGCTCGACCGCTTTACTCAAAACGTTGGTCCAAGACCACTTCAACAATCCCGACTTCTCAATTCTCGAAGGGAACCCCACCAAATAGCAATCCCAGAAACTTCTAACCCTCCTGACAAAGGGCCGCAAAACAGAATAGTGGACAAGGAAGGTAGCAATGAGGTCAAGCACCCCAGAAGCTACCTGCACGAACGTATACTGGGGTCCCGCACTGTATATCTCGTCCATGTAGTAGCAGTCTGCGGCATGATACAAAGCCTCCACAATACCCGATCCGACGATTTGCTGAACTCGAGATGACGTGTCGATGGGGAGAAGCTCCGTAAAGGCTATCAGGAGGGACATAACGATCCCGTGCGCCTCGAATATCTCTGGAGTTCCAGCCGGCTTCTTGTGCAGAGATGTCTTCTTCACGAGAAGGATAGATAGGATGCGAGTCATCGATCGGAGAGCAGCATTGTAATTATCCTCTCCCATGAGGATCGGATTGAAACCCATGAAGCACCGATAGCCCGTTGTGAGCACCATTACGATATATTTCAATTCGTTTAACTCGTGTCGCTTCAAGTCCTTGGCGCGTAGACGCACGATCCTGATGTCGAGTTTGTGCAGGAGCATCTTCCCGAGATGTGCATCCAATGGATATAGAAACGGGAAATTGGAGGTTCTAGAATCGTTTGGAGGTGCTGAAAAGGTCGAATACGCGAGTGGAAAAGGTTCATCGGGGGATACAACCAGATCTAGTAGCAAAGACGACCAAGCCACAAGGTGGGAATGCTCTGTCTCTACCAGTAGACACCAGATCTGAGCGGTGAGCGGCTGAAGATAGTGAGACGATCCCTGTTTTACTGCCTCCGAGGACGGGAGTTTATTCTCGTGGTCAAGTAGGTCTGGAATCGAGAAGAGAAGGTATTCCAAGATATTCGTATCGTCAATGGTTCCGATTTGGGAAGCTTTGTGAGTTAGGAGAAGCTTTCGAAGGAGAAACACGATCCATTTGGCAATCCTGGGTTCCCAATTGCTCCAAAGTTGTGACGATGTCGCTTCTATATCCGATTGCATGTGGAACGAGAGAGAGGTGATGGCCAGGCAGGCAGTTTCAATCCTAGCACTGGGCCGAGAGATATCGATCGTGGTCAATAGTGGAGGCGGGAAATTCTTGAGTCGGTCTATTGCCTTGGTTGCCGTTGGAAAGCTTGAAAGGGATTGAGAGCGGTATGCGGGCCACAGCATCTCTGAAACGCCCTTCATGAAGACTCGTAGCGAGGATAAAATCAGAATCTTCCAAGATGAGGCTCAAGCTTGGACTTATCCCTCACCTTCTCTGGGGAGATGGAACTGGATTGTCGTGGTTCGAGGCGAAGACGCGTCTGATAACGTAAACTAAAGCATGGGAAGGCACATGACAGTTTCTCAGCACGTGATCTATTAGTCGGGGTCGCGGCTCCGTTGAGCACATAGCTTGGCATCGAGATCGTCAGTGATTTGACGAACAGGTAAAATAATAATAACGATAACGATACAAAATAACGCTTTAACCGGATTTCAATGCGAGCTAGCAGTCTGGAATCAACATTGAACAAGGGATGAATCGTTCCTCAGACTTTGAGCTTTAGATGCTGCACGACTCTTCTTTATCCACTTGAACTCCGGCCGGGATGTTATCGATGTCAGTGGTGTACCTAGCCAAGCATCATCAGTACACAGACCCAAGCCTCACAATTAATTGGCGATACGGACCAGATAGTATGTCCTCCTTGCGGACTTCCATAGGTAATCTGAATGCGATTGCACTAAAAATGGTCCAAAACCGGTCAGAGCATATATCAGAGCGTTGGGCAACAGATCCACCGACTTACCGGATCCTCGAGTTTACAAGACTCAGCACCACCCTTTGGAGGACAGTTAACCAAGCTCGCCGGGTTGGCTGGATCGGCAATGCGCCGCTCGATGGTGGAAGCAGTGACGGTGGAAGCGAAAGCTACGAGAGCGACAGCGATGAATTGCATGATGTAAATTGTAATTCGATTGGTTGCTTTAGAAGAAGTTGTGTGGGTGATGATGGGGATCGAGGCAGCTTCGTGAGCTGCTTTTATACCTTGGTATCAAAAAACCTCAGGTCCTTTCAAGCCGACTCCAAATCATCGCTCTCAGTCAAAAGCCGAGAAGCGGGGCAACCACAATTAAGTTGTAGCCCGTACTCCAAACTGTTCCCTATGAAATGACGGAGTTGACTCCTGTATCCCAATTACCAGATCGGAGTCTCCGCCGTTCTACCATCCATCGAGACGAGAAAAAGCTATGTAGGCGGGTATCTCTACTCTCCAGTAACGCTTGCACTCCAATTCCCTTTGTGCGCTCACACGAGCTATGTAGTGGATGATTTGGAGCTTCCCGAGATAATTCGGGTTTCGTCGGGGTTGCAAGTAGTAGGTAGTAGATACCAGCTGGCAACTCGGAACGCTGGGCCATGATACCCGAAGCTCGGAAGTCGTGAGTCTCGAAGACGCACTGTAACTGTTCTCATACGTCATCGGATTGAAACGAACACGGGCCACCTTATCAAGACAACAGAGAGTGAGAGCACAGGTGATATTGCAATGCAAAGTACAGAAACTACGGGAGGTCATCACACGCAAGGCGAGGTACGAGTTCGTATATGGGACAAAGGAGGAAAGTCATAGAGAAGTGGGCGAGTATCCGGTAAAGGGGCTAGTGGCTCTTGATTCAAACTCCCACCCTCGTTCTGGGGATAGGTACCGAGGACATCCACGTTCATGTGGAAGAATCTGGAAGAATAGAGAAGCGACGGACTGCAAGTCCACCTCATTACAACTGCTCAGAGGGGACCCATCGATTCTGGTCGTGGAGGGGGCTCCGTTCTTTCGAAGATGTTCGAGGGCTCTGGATATAGGGGAAGCGCGAGACGGACGTTGAATGACAGTCCATGAAGGCATCAAGACGGCTTGACAAAAGAGACATCTGGATTCATATGTAACAATCAACTATCTGCAGTAGAAATCCGACCTATTGAACTCTCGCCGACCTCTTACGAGCGTAGTACTCCAGATTGATGGTAGTGGTTTGAGACCAACAAGGACCAAGTTCCAACACACGAGCGGCTTGCGTCACCAGTAGCACGTGGCTCTGCGCTCCCGGCACGTGGCAAGGACCAGATCGCGTTCAAATCTCACGGTCGTCGTCGGTAACTCGTAAATGAGGAACCCACTCATTTGACCTCGAGAAGCAGACGAAAACCCGAAGAGTCAACAGACGTACAAGAACCATTAGAGTTCCATCCAGACATTTCTTCTCGGGTTATCTTAGTAAGCTGTCTTGAACATCTACTCTGAACTGATAATTCTTCGCCCAAATTTCGTTCCGGTGAGTGCAAAAAGGTCAAAGAACTCGGGTACAGTGCATAGACACCATGTTAAACGTTTTATTTATACCCAGAAGCTAGAATCAACCCGACCCTTCCTGACCAAGCTTCCCCAAACTGGTCCCCACCAGCGGAAACCCAAAAACCGCATCGAACGGCGATCCTCCTCTATCAACTCGCCAAGGAAACATGGCAACTTAAAAAAGAATCTTTTCCAAACCACTTTATTTCCACCCTTTCTGTATCGCTTCAGTCAACCCCGAATCTTCGCACAAAGGAAAGCCATCGGAAAGAAGCGCTGCTTCCTCTGGGGAAGGAACTTTTCGGTGATCAAAATCAAGATACAGAATTGGGTGCCGGTTGTCTATCGTGTGCAAGAAAGGATGTGAGCGTCGATGGGTTTTGACCACGTTCGGGAGGATTTGCGCGTAAGATTGGATGTAAAAGGAAACGAGTAGGCTAAGAAACCTCCGCCCACTGGTGCGAGAAAGGTGCGAGAAAGGTGGGGTAGGCGAGAATAGCAGTGCCGAAGTCATGCTACTTACCACGTAGCTCTTCGACGAGCCGTTGGCACTGCTCCTTAGGTTCATTCTTTCAGTCTGCTTTTCGGCAAGCACGAGAACAGTAGACCACAACAAAGCGGCCGGTACAGCGAAGGTACCGAATCTCCGTGTTGCTTCTCGAATCTCGACTCTTTTTCGCGGAACGATGGACACTACATAAGAGTAAAAACATGAAAATCTTTGTACTTCTCCGATACGGATATGGTTCTTACGACCGTTTGTGAAACATTCCGCGCTCACTTCGAGGAGGCGAACAGCTCGGCGAGTTCGTTCGCGATGGGGTGGCCTTTCGTGGATTGGGATTGGAGGGCTCGTATATAACAAGTAGCTGGTGGGCAACAAATGGGGCGTGTACTTTCTTCTTACACAGAAATGACAAAACCGAACTTTCCGAACATCAAAAGGAACCCTATAAAATAGCCTGAATGGGTACCAAAATGACGGCAAGGGCCTATGAGAGGTGTATAGCCGTGTCCTACGCAGCGTTACCCTAGCAACGCCGAAGGAACAAACTGGTAAGACATTACAGAGAGATGTGTCCGACCCAAAGACGGCAAAACACTAACGGGGCCCAACTGGGAATTGAACCCAGGACCTCTCGCACGTAGGCCAACATTGGATCGGTGGTTTGCCCAAAGCGAGAATCATACTACTAGACCATTAGGCCGTAGTAACTCGTCGCTCTGGAATGGCTCTCACCGCTTAGCGCAACGACTTGCCAACGTGATGGACGATCCTGAAAAAAAAAGGATGGCCGTGCGCATTGGATATCTAGTGAACTAGCCGGGTAATATGATAAGGATGGTCATCCAAACAGACGCATAAGACTCACAGTAAACGCGATCATTTCCTCCTGGCACTGAATCCTCCGAAACCTTGGTATCGAGTCGGTCACTCAAAGAGCTAACCCCATGTATGTATTGAATCCGCCTGTGACGTTCTGCAAAGAGTGAGGGCAGCCCCACAGACAGGATACACTAGCGAGGAGCTGTGGAGCAGATACAGTCAGTATCATTCGGTAGACAAATCATGTTTAAATGAATGGCGCGAGAGTAAGTAGGAACGAAGCAACATCCACAAAGAGGGTGAGCCAAAAGAGCATACCGGAATCGTTGTAGCTGCACGCCAATCAATCACATTGGGTTTGATCAGCCTTTCCACTTCCACTGCGTCCACTATATGGTCCTTTTTCTCAAGAGGCTATCCTGCATGCCCTTACGCTGGTACAAGGACGCTCCGAGTGCACGTACGAGGCCTAAGCCTTCGAGACCATGGTTATGTACACGCCTATGCTGGGTTAGTATCTTTTATGATCTATCTCGTGCTCGTGCTCGTGAACTTTGGCCTATGTATTGTTGGATAGCAATACTGCCAGCGGTGGCTTAAATGCCCTAGGCGGCGACGAGTAGGTGTGTTAATTTGGTTCGGTCACTATGAGCCGTTAGATGCCTTCTCTATTTACTGTTACTTCATCCAAGATACGGAGATGGTCCTATCTTGCTTACATAACCTATCACCTCAGAGACCTTCCGCCACAGACCACTGTGTCCTTGCCATGAGGTGTCTATTCTAATTTCTAGGGTCGCAGTATCCTTAGCCGTCAGCGGAAACTAAAATCCCTTACATGCCTTCCACACCGCTCGGTTTCGCTAGCAATTCGCTAGTTGCTACCTGCGACCCCGAAGACTTGAATGGGTTCCTCGAGCGGTATTGAGTCCAACATTATGTATAGGTACATATGAGGAAGCACAGAGGGAAGGGTTGATATTGACGATGAAATGCGGGAACTATACCTCGCGTGGAAGGTGCCAGGTCCCCTGCCAACTCCCCTGATCGTCGCTTCCCCACTCTGGGTTATACTTTTAAGCGAACGAAATGTGGGTCAAATGGTTGGTCCCTGTAGTCAAGCGTTCGCTCGTCATTCGTCGAGTTTGGATTACCAGTGAGGAAAGGTGGAGAAATCCTAAAATGATCAATCGCTTTCAACAGGCCCACGCCGCACGGTGATTATGTACAGTAAATTTTCCAGCGGTAAACGGATGTTTATTCTACAAGTACATACAACAGATAAGGATACAATCATTCAGACAGTGGCTATCTTGAATTATAAAACGTTCGTGGTAACGAAATATACTCCTGTCGAAGCGCAGTATATATGGAGTCCTGAACGTATCCCTTACCAAGTTTCCATTTCTTCCCTACCCAATCCCACCTCGACAATAATGACCGTAGATTTCACAGAGTACAATCAGTCCTTAAGGATGGCGGTAAGTTTTTGCTGCTTGGTTGGTTGGTGAGGACATTCTTTCGGCTCCTCGAGTGGCGTATATCGATGTTGATTGTATGTTCCTTCGACTCGATCGAAATAGCTCCCTTCTTTCACTGCTCATATGGACTCGCATACCGACCACGCTTTCGGAATGGAAGCAACTTACCTGGGGTAAAATCTGCATGATATTGATTCTTGTCGATTCGTGAGTCCCCTTTTTCGCCCGGAGCTAATTTTTACCATTAACACTGTGCACCGTTTTCCTTTTCTCGCGAGAAGATGGATGTTCATTTTTCTCGGTTAGTCTCATCCTACTCTTGGCATGCTTAAATCTCAAACCACGAGTGGAAAAGCCGGGTTTCTCTCTACTGGCGTTGGAACGTACCGAAACCAGAGAATATGTTCGGCGGCAGTGTTGATATGTAGCGCGCTTTATGCAATCGCAAAGGTGAGTCAAAGCTCATGGCACCAAACTGAGGATATCGCTTTATCGAGCCCCTGACCATATAGGTTCTCATCTCCGCATTTCTGGTTGAAAAGGTTCAGACTCACTTCTTTTTCTGTTTTCAATGCTAACATTGAAATTTATTAGGTCTACATCGTCTGGTCCCGTGGACTCACTACCCCCCGTCTCAAAAGCGTAGCATTCCGAGTCTGTCTCTTCGCCCAACTCGGTTGGATCGGAATCGCGGCTGTCACTTGGGATGGGATATCAGCCCGGATTAGCCCTCACTCGGATGGGACTTGTGAGTATGAGTTCAAGAGTTACTCGTGAGCTCTCACTACCTTGCCTCTATGGGGACAGGGAGATGACGATCACGACTTTGCAGATTGATGATGGTCTTGATATGGAATTTCGTTCTGGATATGTTTTTTACGTGTATGTTTTGTTTGCCGTTGTGGGGGGCTAAAGTTATGTCGCCTGCGTTGAGGGCTGTGGCAAGGAGGACGATGATGTGAGTGTTTTACCTGCTTTCGTGTGTTCGTTCATCTTACTTACTCGTCTGAGTAGCGCAACGGTGTTGACACTGATCCTGTTAAGTGTGGGTTTTTGCATTCTTGCCAAAGTCCACGAAGAACCAGTTGATTGATGCGGTATACCTATCTGCTACTAGGTCAACGTCTCGGTATTCATTCGGATGAATGGGCACGAAGTAGGGTGGGTGTGTACGACGAGTTGTATTGTGGATGTTCGTACAATCCTCTCGCGATCCCTTCTATCCTATGTTCTTCTCATTTGCCTTCAGGTAACCCTGAGTGCGATCATCTTCTATTGGGTTTCATCGGGAGCACCTTCCGACTCGGTTCATCACTTTACGTTGCCGACTATCTCTGCTGCTGCAAAGAGCACTGACAACACTTGTCAAGAAGAGTCGTGTGGATCGGTGGGGAATACGGTTGTTTGAGAAACTTGTTTACCCAGGATGATCTGTGTTGAGTGCTGGAATGGAAACTATTGAACATCGTGTCATTCAGGCAATAACGAAGTAGTGGACGCTTAAACACGATTCTGAATAAGGCGGAGCGCATGTATGATTTTTCTTCGATACAGGAACACGATATCGGTAGTCATATACCGAAGACAGAAGGTAGGAGAAAGTGTGAAGATGAAACAAATTCATAATCAATAATATAAGGGCAAGTTTTCGGTAGAAGTACTTCGCGCATTGTCGGGATAAGATAAGACACGCCAGCCACTGAAAGGGTGAGATGGTTAACCCCAGGTCCACCACATCTGGCTCTCAAAGGATGTTTTCCCGGACGTTGGGATGGGACACCTCCCATCAAAAATTGGCTACGAATGGCCGATTGGGCCTATGAGTTCCCGCGTATAACCGACTTGGAAGCTCAGGCCAAATTCAGCGTCGATTAAATACTGATCCATTTCGCTCAATTCGTATGGGGGTTTGGATGTGACAAAAATCTTCGACAGGGGGTATTTGTATGGAACTCGTGTGACCAGTGACACGCCAAAAATTTTCGTATGGACCCCCAAGCACCCGGTTTTGGAACCCTCAGTTGTGATTATATGCTTAAATCAAGTCATTGCATTTCCCCCATAAACTTTATAGGAATCACGGCCCGGGTTGCGACCCGGCACTAGCTACTTATTCTACGTAACGTTTGAGCTCAAAGATAATGGCAGGCAACGAGGAGGGCAAGAAAAACGGCTGGTAGTACTACGTCACCGGAAATCGGGCTATCCGAAGTTCTGGTCACATACCCGGACAATTCGTATAGACCCTTTGTGACATAGTGACCATCCGAAAATTTTTCGTATATGGAGGTCCGTGTGACCTGTGACATACGAATTGAGCGAAATGGATCAGTAGTATCGTGGGATCAATTCCAGTATATACAAGAGTTCGATTTCTGAGTATCAAGAGATATGCATGAGAGTGCCAGACCATAAACCAATCGAGGACGATACCAACTAAGTTCAGGCATCACTCAAATCCAGGGTTCCCCTTTTACCGACGTCCTTGGATCTTCGTGTTCAACAATGCGGCTGATTTTTACAGCGACCGGGGGGATGGTATGGAGAGGGTATCCATCCCGCGCATCAATGACGCCCTCATTCGGAGCGGGGTGACGGCGATCCGAATCATTAGCAGAGGTCGAGCTGAAGTTTTTATGGCTACCGCTTGTCTGTGACGAGAAGAACATACGCGTTTTGATCGACATGACAGATATCCCAGCAATAACGACATGGCAGTTGGCCATGAAATAATGGAACGGGCTCTCGATCTCGTAAGTCGCCAGGAATACGATTGTCCACATCCTATGGAAAAAGAACTTCAGATGAAAAAGACACAGGAAGTGAGCCAGTGACACCCATACGTATACAGTGTGGCGCTCTCGACGAACACCGTGAAAGCTCTCTGGAACATAACTTGACAGCATGAGTGGGGGGTCACATTTCACCAACGCTTGTAGTGCTTGCCGTTAGTAGAGCGGAACCTTTGATCAACGCCGATCCCCGATTCCCGCACCCTTCAGCTACACTTACGTGTGTTGGGAGGATTTGACTTTTCTGTTGGATTTTGTCAGGAAGGCGACCGCAGTTGCCCCTCAAGTCACTCAATCAAGTCTGTTCTTGCTGTGTTCACTATGGATTGACCAAGTGGTTAAGCTAAGGAAACGTACTGTACAAGGTGAGTCTTTTATACTAGTTTACAGATCAGAGTGAGTCATCGAGTGTCCGTACGAGTCGGCGGGGAGGAGTCAGGGATGGATGGTTCTGGGATTGTGAGTCGTGCCGCTGAGTCACAAGTGGTGAGTCGTAGACGGTAGCAGGCCCGCTGAGTCGTGATGGATGAGTATGAGTCGGCCCGTTTGAGTCATGGAGTTGAGTCAGGCATTTGGGGAACTGGGGTGAGTCGAGGTGATGGTTTAGC